TTTATTGATCTATGTGTCTATTTTTTTGTTTTAAGAAACTTTTTTTTTTTTTTTTTTTTTTTTTAAAGAGAGAGAGAAGAGGGGGACAGGAAGAGGAAGAGAAAGAATCTTAAGCAGGCTCCACATGCACTGTGGAGTCTGATGTGGGGCTCTATGTCATGACATTGAGATCATGATCTGAGCCCAAATCAAGAGTCAGATGCTTAACCAACTGGGCCACCTGGACACTCCTCTATGTGTCTATTTTTGTGTTAATACCATACTGATAAATTATCTTAGTTTTTTTCGTCATGTGAGTTGCCATGTTTCCTCCTTCATTCTATAAGAATAATTTTACTAGATAGATGTAAGATTCTGGACTAAAACTTCTTTTTTCAGCATTTGAAAACCATTGTGCTATTTCTTTCTGACTTTCATGGTTCCTGATGAGAAATCCATTTTCACTTAAATTGCTTTCCTTTGTAGGTAAGATGTTATTTTTCTTTCACTGCTTTCAAAATTTTCTTAAACTTTTCAGAAGTTTGACTATATGCCTTATTATGGATTTACCCCATTTCATGTTTGTTCAGCTTCTTAAATGAGTGGCTTTATGTCTTTTGCAAATTTGGATGTATTCAGCTGCTTCTCAGCCCTCTCCCTTTTTCCTTTCATTCTGAGAATCTGACATAACCATAGGTCATTTGTTATCATTCTACAGGTCCCTGTGGCTCTTTTTCCCTAGGCTATTTTTTTTAATCTGTTGTATAGTTTGAGTAATTTCCATTGTCCAATTTTCAAGTTCCCTTATTCTTTCTTGTATCCCTCCATTCTGCTCTTGAGCCCATCTATTGAGTTTTTCATTTTAGTTATTTATTAGTTCTAAAAACTTACCTCAGAGTCTACTTTACATTTTTATCCATTTGCTGAGATTCTTATCTTTTTTATGAGTGTCTAGTTTTTCATTTGTTTTAAATATGTCCATAATTGCTCACTGAAGAGTTTTATGATGGCTGTTTAAAGTCTTATGTCAAATAATTCAAACATGTTGTCATCTCAGCATTGGCATCTATTTTTTTTTTTCATTCAGTTTGAGATTTCGTAGTTTTTGGTATATGACAGGTTGTTCTGTTGTTGTTGTTGTTGTTGAAATTGAGACATTTTGGGTATTACGAGATTCTATGTCTTACTTAAGTCTTCTGTTTTAATTGGTTTCCTCTGACACTGCTCTGTCAAAAGAGAAATCCCACCTCATTCCTACTAGATTGGAAAGCCCTGGTTTCCCACTCAGTCTCTGCCAATACCCCAGGGCAGAGAGCTCCTTATTAGAAGGTGGTGTGTGCGGAGGAGGTAGGGGAGTTCTGCTTCCCCAGTTGGCCTCCACTGACACTTCCATTGGTGGTTAGGCTATGAGTGCCTCATTAGCCCCAGTGATACCAATATCTAGTGACCCTGACAACTACCAACAAGAGGCAGAATGACTGGTTACCACTGGAGATAGTGATGAAACTCCCAACTCCCCACTAGGCCTCCTCCTATACCACTCCAGCAAAGGAGAGTGGCATCTTGTTTTACTACTCCATGGGAGTGGAAGGCCAAGCTTCCTAGTAGAAGAAGATGGCCTCGTTATTTTCTGGAAGAGATGAAAATCCTGGCTCCCTTCTTAGCCTTTCCTGAAACCACTGTTTGAGATTGGGAGGCCTTGTCACCTCAGCAGCTTGGAAATCTAGGCTCTCCACTTGGCTTTTGCTGGTGAAGGTGAGACTGGGACTATAGGTTTTTCCATGTTGTTTGGCTAGAGGGAAGTTGTTACTCTCTAAACATTTTCTTTCTTGTTATACTGCTTCTTTGTTAGTCCTTTGGCTAGAGGAAGCCTGCTTTTGTTGGAGCTTTTGTTGTCTGCATCTATTGATATTTCTGGGTTGCCAGTGTCTTTAGCTCCAACTCTGAGATATATAGGGAAAAAGAAATCTCAGGAACTTGCCATAGTATTGTTGCATGGGTCCTAAAGGCCCTAGTTGATCTGCTCTCTCTTTCCACCTTTCATATTTTTCTCATATTTGTTTTATATATAATATCCAGGGGTTTTAGTTGTTCCTAGTAGGAGGAATAGATGTTTATTACATCTTTCTGGAAGGAGAAATTTCTGGACTACCTGAATTTTCATGATAAGCTGGAGATCAAAATTGTAATATAAATTCTCCTATTTTGTCTTTTTTATTCTTGAAAACTAATTTTTAAATAACAAGCAGTCTAAGTGCAGAATGTCTTTTGGCCAACAATCAGGGTACTCTGCTCAGTTCCTTAAAAAAGTAGCTTTCTCTGACCAAGATTTGTCATTTTTTTACCTCATTATATATAAACTTCTATCATTTGTCCAGAGATGACATTGCTACAAACTTAACTATCAAGGGAATAGACAAAAAAGAGGAATTTAGTAAAAAAAAGAAAATCACTGGACAACCAAATTAGATGTCAAAATGTCCATCCACTATAGGTCTTGTACTTTATGAATAGGTAATAAGCCTTTAGACCCCCACTTAGAACATGATTTTTTAAAAATGTATGAAATAAAATCACATACCCACACACAGGAAGCCCACTTTCTAAAGCACGATACAAATTAAAGGAGATAGGATTTCATAAGTCAGGAACACTAAAAACATAAAGTAAAAACTTACAGTGAAGCAGGAGAGAGAAAATTATAAAATTCACTCAAAACACCCAACTTCCCAAAGAAACACTGTGACTCTTCAGTGTTGGTGCACACAGTCTTATATACATTTAATAGGGGGTGAAGGTCTTCCTTTATCTGTGTGTAGTTCAGTATTGGTATTTATAATTAGAATTTTGAATTCTAGGGATTTATATTATTATTGCCACCCTCTGTCTTATGCACATCTGTAACTACTTAGCTAAGAAAAAATTTTTAATTATTTTAGAGGAAAAAAACTTATTTCTTATAGAGTCCCTACCACATGTTAGACAACATATTAGGAGCTTTACCACAGTAACTGTTTTAATTTTTACAAAAACTTTATGAAGTAGATTCTGTTATGTTCCATATTCACTGGTTGAGAAATTAAATTTGAAAGTCCAGGACTAATTTTACAAAAGCTCTGGCTAGTCAGTAACCCTGGTAAGGTTGGCATCCAGTCAAGGTTTCAGTGGTCATACTCTTAACCAACCTGTAATATGAATTCCAAAATGTTGAGATCACATGTTGTAAACTAGGGAAGGTGACTTTTGGCATCTAGAAATCGCATTAATGTTAAGATACTTGGATTAGCTGTGCAGCAGCAAAAACTTCCATGTCAACATGGAGTATTTGTGTCCTTCAAGCAGGTCCTGAGGTCCTGACTCATAACTCACAAAGATGCTTCTCAGCCTCCTGAGTCAGGAACTGTACGTTCTAGGAAACTAAAGATTAGCTCTTTTATGAATGATTATGGTAGCAATTCCGCTGTGCTTGGTGTCCACAACAGGTGTACCCTCTCTTTAATTGTCAATTTTCAAACAAAATTGTCCATGATTATGAGCAGTACTTGATAAAGTATACAAGTAATATAAATAAGGAGGATTCATGAGATCCAAAAGGGACTCTTAGTATAAGAAGACAAGGGAAGATAACTTAGCTTCTGCCATCTTGAGACAGATGCCATGCACATTGCTTTGCATACAGGCTAGTTATTTGGTTTAAATAGGCATTCCATTATAATGTGGTAGATAGCCAAAGAAGAGCAGAGGAATTCACCACAGATCTGCTCACCAAATATTTTCTGACATATTGAGGAGGCAGTGAACAATAGTAGCTTGGAGAAAAATCACTACATTGGCTCTGGGTTGTATTTTCCATTTTAATTAAATTTCCTATTTGTCCATTCTGTGTAGGCCCTGGCCCTATGTTCCATGCTATTTTGCATGGCCAGTGAAATCAGGAAGAGCCCATCATTTGAAACTTGGAGGCATCTAAGTGATTTTGTTGTATTTGCTCGGCAGAAGGCTAGTGTTTTCTGAGTTTGGGACATACTTTCAGACTCAGGGTGTCAAGTGACAGACTGAGGGGCTCTCTGGTTACCAGTTCATATGTTAAAGAGGTTCTTTCCCATCAGTTTACCCATTGCATTCAGTACTCTTCCCCATTTTTCTTTTCAGCAGTGGATAGCCCAACAGTGAAGCCCAGCAGGCTCAGGTTGGTCATCAGGTGGTTGTTCCCGTTAGACCTCTTGTGAGCAGGATCTCCTGTTGGTGGGTGACCAGGGAAGGAGCCACCTGTATTTTCAAGACACAGATTTGCAAAGGAAAGAAAACTGATTAGGAGTTTTCTCAATGTAAATAAATAAATAAATAAAATCTTAAATATCTCAAATAAGTAAATAAAATCTTAAAACACAATCAAAGGAAGATTGTTTGCATGTCAGGAGTGGCTTATGTTACTATTCTCCAGACCCAGCTAGGCAATTTTATATTAGCCAGATGTGACTTGGTACCATTGCAAAGCTTTAGTAGCATATATGTGTGCCTCTGTACACCTTTCTTTTATTTTTATTTATTTAATTTTGATATTTGCTTTACCCCAACCTCTCCATAGCAAAAAGAGAGTGCAATTAAAGTTGGGTAAAATCAGTTTTGCTTTGAACCACTTCATAGTAAAATCTTGCATTAGTGACAGACTTATGTCATTTGTATACATATAAGAAAATCAAAAGATGAGTTATTTTAATACTTTTTTTTCTCAAAATGTATTAACCAGCAAAAGAATTAATTTACTGTATCCAGTTGTTCTATTGAAGCTGATTGTTTAAGTATGCATTAAACATTTGCAGAAGAGATTGGGCACTGCTGACCAAATTTCCTTTTCATGTTTTTATCTGAGTCAGAGCATGAGTCAGAACTAAAGGCAGCATTTTTTATAATCACAGTCTTGTTCTTTTTCTTTGATGTTTTTAGGTGGCAAAGTGACAAGTGCCAAAACTCAGGCCTCACTTTTCTGAAAGTGTCGACTTTCTGCCAGACCCAGAATAATGGATGTGAAGGACAGGCGACACCGCTCTCTGACCAGGGGACGGTGTGGCAAAGAGTGCCGCTACACAAGTTCCTCCCTGGACAGTGAAGACTGCCGCGTGCCCACGCAGAAGTCCTACAGCTCCAGCGAGACTCTGAAGGCCTATGACCACGACAGTAGGATGCACTATGGAAACCGAGTCACAGACCTAGTTCACCGGGAGTCAGATGAGTTTCCAAGACAAGGTAGGTAGAGCTGACCCCACTGACTTGCTCCGAGCTTCCTTACGTTCTTGCACTGTTGCGCGTTGATACCTGAGTTGGTAAAAACTGAAAGCAAAGCTTGCTGGCATCATCTGCCTTTTAGAGTTTAGTTTAAGACAACAATCCTTTTATCGACCCATAGCAGAATCCTGTGGGAATGACAGAAGTGCCTCTTTTGTCCTGAATGCTGAATTCCTTGACAATTTGGTGGTTGTTTTGGAGCCCCACAATGGTAGGTTTTGATAATTGTAACATAAGGCAAAGCTTTCGCTTGTAAGGGGTATTCTTGAGACCATTATATATCCCTGCCCTGAGGAACACAAAATTATCTGTGGTTTTTAAACTATTTTTCTTGAATCACATATACAAACCTCCAAGAGCTCGAATTTCTACTATTTTACACATTAAGCTTCTCAGTCAGATTCTCTTTGATTAAAACCTATTTGAACCTCCCCTATCCTGTGTAATATATAATTTCTTTCTTCTTCAGATGTGGTGTTAATTTTGTGTTATGCATTTGTCTTTTTGTGTTTCAGAGCATAGGTGAACTGATGTATGTTATTACCCCATTCCACATATCATTCTCCCTGTTACTTTCACCAAAACTTATTTTTCTTTCAGTATTTTGATTTCTTTGGGGAGGAGGATATTTTTCTCAAGCACTAACAGTTGGCATTCTCTTCATATCCAATATCCATGAAGAAGTTTGTTATCACTTGTCAAGGGTTGCTGTAAATGTATGGACATGTAGACTAAAGCAAAAACAGTGCTGAGAGGCAGTATGGCAAGGTTGACTCGCGAGGTCCATGTCTTGTGCTTTGTGTACCAGCCATGTGTGATTTACATGAAAAGCTTAGCAAACTTAGAAGAGAATGCACAGAAATACAGGGAATAAGCTGGGAAGTGTTCACTCTTCCAGTGCCAAGATTCGAGGCCTTGCCTGCTAGGTTATTGGCTCATTTGTTTGTAACATTGATTCTTTATTTCTTGTTTCATGCTCCTGTTCCTGAATATTGCAACTAATTCAATTCCTCTTGAGATACTTCAGCTGTGTCTCAGTTCTTTCTGGCTGCTATAACAAAATACCATAAACTGATGGCTTATAAACAATAGAAATTTATTTCATATAGTTCTGAAGGCTGAGAAGTCCAAGATACATGTACTAGCCAATTTAGTGTCTGGTGAGAGCTAGTTTTCTGGTTCTTGACAGCTATCTTTCTCTGTGTCCTCACATAGCTGAAGAGGATGGGGGGCGCTCTCTTGATTGTCTTTTATAAAGACATTAAACCCATGACTCAATCACTTCCCCAAAGCCCCACCTTCAAATACCACTGGAGATTAGGTTTCATTATAAGATTTGGCGGTTGGGGGGGGGTGTAGGAAATCACAAACATTCAATTGATAGCAGCTTGGAATTCCATTCCTGGTGGAAAATACCACACATATGTATTCTCTATGCGCGCGCACGCACACACATATCTGTAGTCCATTGTTTGTTATAAAAACATGTTCTCGTATGCTCCCAGTTAGCCTAGCTCCAAATTTTATACTGAACAGAGTATTTTTAAAAAATCAGCAGAATACTAAAAAAACAATTAAAAATTTTTTAATTACTTTAAAAAAATTGTACTTAACAGAATATTTTAAAAAAATCAACAGTTAAAATTCTATTTCTACTACAGTTGTAGACCCTTGCAGGATACAGTTTTTATTTAATCTACACTCTCCTGTTCTGAGTTATCTTCATGTAAATAAAACATACTTCAAACAGGGGGAGGGTTGCTTGAAAATTGTTCTGTATCAAATGTCTTTGATCTGTGAGTAACTTCAACAATTGTTTTACTTCACTACGTTCCTCTCCTGACCCCAAAGTGTATGAGTGAGAATTGGGCTTAATTAATTAAGGGAGTGTTTAAATTTCAAATATAAAGTATTAGGGCACTTGTTATTTCCTAGAGTGTCACTAATACAAGGTTCAAATATTTTGAAAGGTGATGCATGTTCAGCATGGTTGAAAACCTTTCATTTTCTACTAGATTTTTGGTTTTATTTACAGTGTTGCTGCATACATTTTTGTTTCTTATGATTTTGTGCTGAAATGTTGAGCCTTTTTCCTAAGTCTCATTAAAGGTGCATCCTGGTTTCTGGATCATTGTGCACTGAGCTGTAGATCCCAGATTATTGTTGAATTGTGGATCCTGTCACCTTTTCCCTTATTAATATTTACATAAAATGAAACTGAATGCTTGGGATTTTATGTTCAAATATACCTTTTTTCCTCCTGTTTAATCTTGTTCCTCTTCATTGATAATAATGGAAGTTGCTTGGCCATATCAAACCCATAGCTTTGCAATTAACAATTCACACATGCCGTGTGTTGTTATTGAGCCCATATTTGTTTGTGTAATGTGTTTACATGAATTAAAAACTGCAGGCCAAAAGTAGAAATGAAAAGGCATTGGAAAGTATTTGCATATGCAAGTGCAGTTCCTTCTGAAGACATCTATGAATTTATGCATGAAAATGTAGTCAGAGTCTGAGTGGATCTACTTTGATGGGTTCTAAAATTGAACTCAGGAAGTAAATAAGCACATATTTAAGGAGAGGAAGAGCAGGAGATACAATCTGGCAAGCATCATAGTCAATGTGAAACTTAGCCACTACAGAGAGGGTTAAAACAAATTTTACTCTCAGGAATAACAATAATTTTTAAATGTCATGCATTTCCCATTTTATTTTCTTATTCATGAAATCAAAGAGCAGGATCATCTCAGAACTTATTAGCCTAGAGGTACATTAGCAAGGATCATAGTGGGATCATCTCCTGTGGTATTCTTATTTAAAACCCAAGACACTGATCATAAAACAAACATGCTTCTCACATTCAAGCAAGTTTGGCAAACACGGTTGGATGACTCTCCAGATGCTCAGAGTGGAAACGAATTGCCAGCTTACTAAAAGTGATGTGGGGCCAGGGTCAGACCCTGTCCAGTTCCCCTGCAAGTATCTGCAAGTATCAAATGTGAGAACCTGCCAGATCCCAGCAGGAAAGAGAGGCTGGGTGTTCCCATGGGAAGCTTTTGGACGTTCTCATCAAATTATACCTTCTTCACCTGCTTTCAACACAGGATCAGCCTCTGCTCCTAAGAAGAGACAATGCAAATTACCTGTCCGGCCTCTATTATGCTGGATCCTCCTGGTGTGAAGGGAGAAAATTGCTGATCCTAGGTCTGTGGCCATTCGAGTAATTAGTAATTAGTAAATGACTAATGCTGCACTGAAGAGCATCCTAGTGGTCTGAGAGTTAATGCACCTGACAGAAGTGACCAGTAGTCTAATCCCCGGTCAGACCCAGCCTCAGTCTAACGTGTGAAATAGATGCCACTTCGAATAATGAAGGTCAGGCAAATGCCCAGACAGATTGTATAAGCTTGTTCTTTGGGACCCTGAAGTAGGGTAGAGAGCAGTGTGATACACAGGACATTCCCCCATGACTTGTGAGCCTCAAGTTAGACTTGAACTCTGCTTTTGCATTATAATGTGCCTGTGACTCTGGTCTACATTCTGTGTTTCACCAGGATTAGTACACCATTTTCAGATGTATTAAACAAGAACAACAAAAGAATAATGGCTAACATCCATTGAGCACTTTCTATATGTCAGGTGTCAGTCTAAGCATTTTGCTTATATTAACCCAGGGGAACATTCACAACAGAGTTGTGAGGTGGGTTCTGTTACTACCCCTTTTTGCCGGATAAGGAAACTGAGCCCCGGAGAGATTAAATAAATCATTCCAAGGCCACAAATACAGGAATTGGTGAAGACAAGTTTTAAATCCAAGAAGTTGAATGCGAGAGATGTGTCTTGAACTTGAACTACTGTGTTTGATCCCCTCCCGAATAAATAAATAAACAAAAATAAGCCATTAATGCCCAAGTCAAAGGCTATGAAGTTCGGTATATAAACCTTTATGGCATCAACTCCTTTAAACACTTCTTACTGTAGGAACTGCACTTGTTAACTTGAATGTCTCATGAGCACTACCACCAGCACTGCTGATCTCAATTCCTATGCCCACCCGTTCGCCTCCACAACTGTCTCAAACTCCCTGCAGGCATTTCTACCTACAGTAGCTCTCCACAGCCACCACTGTAGGAAAAAGCTCCTGCTGTCAGAATGTGTGTCAGCTGTTAGCACCGATTCTTTGCCCTCCCCTCTAGTCATCACCTTTTCCCACAACCTCTCAACCTGGAACACTAACCAAGAAAGGTGTTACTATCTAAATGATATTGCTCAGGTAAGCAGAACTGACTGGCTTCTGTGCCAGGCAAGGCCCAGTGGGCCAGAGAGTTCAGCCAGGCTTCTCATGCCTCAAAAAGCCCTTCTTTCCAGTTAGAACTGCAAGTCTCTGGAGACGGGGCCAAGATTGAATTCTTTCTCTGCACCTCAGGCTGTCTCTTTGGGTCAAGGTTGAGGAAAGAATTGGGGGAAGATTGGATTTTTGAAAATATGCTTGCATCAGTTCCCTCAATCAGTTCTAGCACAGATACAACTTTCACCATTACTTTGATGCACTTAAAAAATACACAAAGACATACACACATACACATTTTAGGCTACCTTTGATTTTGGTATTTCATAAATCAGTTTTCACTCTTGTCATCTTTAGAATAATTGAGGCAATAAGTTTTACTCTGTATAACCTGTCCTGGCATAAATTTAACCTGTGCTAGAAACTCACGAACCACTATAAGCTCAAGTGTTAACTATAGTCATTCAATCAATATATATAAGAATTGGTGAAATAATCTAGAAACCTGTGAGCGTTCCACCTATACCAGAGTCTTAAAAAACTTATTTTTCCACTGTACCCAAAGCAACAGTTGGAAGGATTCTATTTTGAAAACCACAGCCATTTACCTACAAAGAACATCTTTTGTTTTAGTGACATTCAAGTTTGTCCGGTCAGTGTTTGGAAGGCT